TATATATATATATACACACACATATATATATATATATATATATATATATATATATATATATATATATATATATATATATATATATATATATATATATGTGCGAGTGCGTGTGCGTGTGTGTTTTGCGTGTTTGAGTGCGTGTGTGAGTGCGTGTAGCTAAATCTACCGCAGTTTTGGCTGATACGCACGTATGGCCTACGTGTTGGTGGTGAGAAAATAGAAAAATAAACAGAGAGAAGAAAACAATCACGTAATTTTTCTAGTTGGATTTTTGCCATTACATTGCTGGATATCGGCGATTGGTATCTGCCATCGGTCATTTTCAGTTTATTTCACATTTGGTAACGATCTCAATTGAACGAATCCCGCACTTTCATTCACGATCAGCCTTCAAAAATACTTCGTGATGGGCTTGATACCAGAATGCACATTGTGATACATACGATAGTAACTTGTTTTTAAAATCAACATTATGTTTCTTGTTCTGGATGTGTCTTTACCACATCGGTTACATAAGTGCTCAGTTTTACATTTTTGATAATATAATATCATTCATGTGTGGGGTGAGATGCATTTCCTTACTAAATTCTGTGTTCTCACGAACCCTTCACAGGCAACAATCTGATCATCAGTGCACGGATTGACAACAACCCTAGAACACCTGGAGGTGTCCGTGTTTCAGATGTAGAAAATATAAATACTACCGCCACCCCGGCCCCTAGTGCCTCGGTCTCGCCTCTATTATACCCTGGTGACAGTCCTAGTGCTACACCTTCAGTAGCACTTTCACCATCGCCGAGTATCACTCCATCGAATTCTCAAATACTGGGAATGATCAATGGCACAGTTATCGATCTCGGCAACGAGGTGGGAGTGCCAGACATTGTTGTTATTTTGGTGAATACGGCAACCAATGAAGCCGTCTCCACGGCTACTACGGACGCCAATGGCGGTTACTCATTCCTTGATCTACCTCTCGGGGAGTACAATGTAATCGCTCCCTCCGAAGTGATCACATTGCCCATAGTGGATGGCCCTCCTGATAGCGACGATAAGCTCTTTGAACATGCTGTCGTCCTTAACATTCAAGATCCAACCGAAGTTGGTGTGGATTTCAAGTACCTCAAAGAAGCCACTATTATAGGAACTGTCACGCTACGCAATGGGAAAAATGAGCCACTATTTGGCGTGCAAGTAGGAGCTATATGCTTAGACGATAGTTCGATCACTTTACCCCTAGCTTACACTGATGACAACGGGATGTACTCGTTCGTGCAAGTACCTGATTGCACTTGGGAGATAATTGTTCCACCGGATTTTAATGGTCACCCTATCGTTTCCGATGATCCGAGTGGGTCAGGGGAGAAGAAAGAAGTTACTATCTCGCCAACTGTCCGTATCGGCGTTGCAGATTTCGAATACATTCCCTATGCAACTATTTCTGGGTTTGTGTTCAACATCGATGGTAACGTCCCCGTGTCAGATGTGAAAATAAAGTTGACCTGTGATGGACTTAGCACAGAGAGAACCACTAGCGATACAGGTTACTACGAGTTCAACGCTCTGGAGGATTGTGAATTTACAGTTCTCGCGCCACTTACAGCCTTCACGGATACTTTTGAGGGCACCTTTGTTGGCGGTAGCGGGCCTGGTGATGACGGCGATGAGTCCTATGTGGTAGTTGTTGATACGGACAATCGTGGAAAGGCCAATGTAAACTACTTTTACCAATCTGCAACTAAAGGATCTTTGTCTGGTACTCTCAGAGACTACGTTACGAAAGATCCAATCCCCGCAGGAGAGGTCGTTGAGGTTGCATGCATCGATGGTCCTAACCGCGAAGTATCGCAAACCACAACGAACGATGATGGTTTCTACAAGTTCTCTGGCCTCGACTTCTGCACATATTCTGTGAATGCTCCTCAGCAAACTGTCGATGGGCGAGATATTTTCGAGGGACCCGTTGATGGAGTAGATCCAGAACATACTACCACTGTGCTTCTAAGTGAAGGTGCACCCGACGAGACTGATATTGACTTTGAGTACTCTAGCACCGGAAGTATTGCGGGAAATCTGTTCGAGGACACCCCTCCTACAGGTGTACCCGGGGAACAAGTCACCGCCGTGTGCCTCGGAAACTCAGAGTTGGCATACACCGCTACTACCTGTGCTGTCGGAGATGCAGCTTGTGGCGTGCCCGGTTCCTATCGGTTCACCAACCTCCCGCTGTGCACATATACAGTCACAGTACCGACAACGGTCAATGACAAGCAGATTCACACGGGACAAGACACTGACGATACGTTGAACGCGGTGGATATTCCTCTGACCACGGCGGACCAGGTCGTGGAGGATGTTGATTTCTACTATGGTAGCCCGGTTGTACCGGCTACCATCGATGGAACTGTGACTCTACTTCCTACAGGTGAGCCAATCGCCGGCGTCGAGGTTACTGCCACTTGCTTATCTGATCCTGGTATCACACTGGCGCCAGTAAGTACGGATGCGAATGGTTATTATTCGTTCAGTGATGTGCCCAATTGTGCTTGGACTATCAGTGTGCCGGACGAGGTGAATAGTGTACCTGTTACCCCCCCAACGGACTCCCCTGCAGTGATCGATTCAGAAAACAGAGTGGCGATGGTCGATTTCGATTACAAGCCCATCGGAGCCATCTCCGGTCACACACTGGATGATTTTGATGATTCGCCTATCTCTGGCATGCTTGTGACGCTAGTGTGTTCTGAGGATGGTTCAATGCAAACTCAGACCACAGGGGAAGCAGGTGATTACTCCTTTGAAAATCTTAAGTTCTGCACCTACATGGTTTCTGTTCTATCTTCTTCCGTCGATGTGGGTCCTATTGTCAGTGGTTATGGCGATTTGGAACCTCTCTATGAAAGCTCGGTATCAATTGACGACGGCAATAGAGTGGTGGAAGGCGTTGATTTCAAGTACTTGGCACAAGGTACTATCGCAGGTACTCTGCGCGATTACATTACGCAAGCTGGTATTGGTAGTCAGACGGTGACCGTATTATGCGCGAGTACTGGAGCCACAAGGGAAACCACAACCAACGGTGCAGGCGAGTACCGCTTCGAAAATCTCGCATTCTGTGATTATACCGTCACAGTCCCTGATGGAATTGCTAGCGTGGGTCCTATCTACGAGGGCTATGGTGTTTCAGTACCCATCAATGAAGCCATTGTGTCGATTGGTCTATCAGAGCCAGCTGTAGGCGACGTAGACTTCGAATACACTACGTTAGGAAGTGTATCCGGTGCCATCTATGTGGACGCGGCGGATGCTGAGAATGGATTCTTCGGCGCCCCAGTTCAACTTACTTGTACAGACCGACCTGATTTGACGCCCTTTACTGAAACGACGGACGATCAAGGAAGGTACTCTTTCACGGACATTCCAATCTGTGCGTACGAGATCGAAGTACCTCTGATCGTGGATAGTAAACCTATCGCTAGTGGATACGATGCAGATGACAGTCTTCAACTGGCAACTGTGACACTTACCATCGCAGAGCCCAATGTGGTGGACGTCAACTTCTTGTACTTGCTGCCAATATCACCATCTGCAACGGTAAGTCCTAGTCCTTCAACTTCGAGGTTCATTCCTGGCACTATCACCGGCACAGTTGAACTCGAAGGCACGGATATTGGGGTACCGGGCATCACTGTGACCGCGACATGCACTGACGGTACGGTGTACAATGAAACCACTGACGGTGATGGATCGTTTTCGTTTGAAGATATGCCCGATTGTCAGTACACCATTATTGTACCACCTACCGATCCCAATGGTTGGCCTGTGGTGAGCACCGGTGAGACTGAGGTTGAGATCAGCCCAGAGAACCGTACAGAAGAGGTGGAGTTCGAGTACACACCACTGGGATCTATTGCCGGAGCTACGCTGAGTGACTTCGATAAGACCACTCCTATTGCGGACTTAATTGTTGAGTTGTCCTGCGATGGGGCTGTAGTCCAGACACAGACCACTGGCTCACTTGGAGAGTACAGTTTCACCGAGCTGCCTCCTTGCCTTTACACGGTCACAGTTCCCACTTCTGCAACTGACGGAGGGGATCTCGTGTCAGGTCCCAGCGACCCAGCCGAAGTCCACCAGGAGGCGATACAGGGCAATGATGTCACCGAGTTGAACTTCTACTACTTACCCAAAGGCACAATCGCTGGAACATTGAGCCACCATGTGACGGAGGTTCCACTCACGGGCGAGAATGTGACGATTGCGTGTCTGGATAATCCTGCAGTCACTATTACGAATACTACTGACGCCAGCGGCAACTACGAATTCACGAACTTGGTCTTCTGCACGTACAGTGTGGTAGCACCAGAATCTACACCGGCCGGTCCAATCTTCTCCGGTCCAGACGATTTTAGCGGGGACGACGGATTAGAGTACGCCACTGTTGTGATTCTCAATCCGCAGAGCCCTGAGGAAGGTGATGTCGACTTCACATATGCAGAAGTTGGCAGCGTGTCAGGAACTATATACGAGGACTTTATTGGAGAAGGTAATGGAGTTGGTGAGGTCTTGGTGACGTTAGAGTGTACTGGTGCCAATACTTTCGAGCTAACTGTTCTGACCGACGGGGCTGGCGAGTATGCGTTCGCCGAGATCCCTATCTGCGACTACATCATAACTGTGCCTCAAGTGGTTAACTCCACTTCGGGGGTCATACCTCTCTATTCCGGTTATGACACTGATACCTCTTTGGACACAGCCAAAATAGAGGTCAGTAGTGAGGCCCCGAACATCATCGAAGTGAATTTTATTTACAAGATGTTGCCCAGCACGACTGCTTCTCCTAGCCCTAGCACGTCGCCGATCGTTCCTGCTGTAATTTCTGGAACTGTATCTGGACTAGAAGACGGCGCGGGTATCCCAGGCGTCCCTGTGACTGCGGCATGCACTACTGACGGGAATATCGTGTACACAACCACCACGATTGCCGATGGGTCGTACGCTTTCTCCGAAGGAGTAGCGGACTGCACATACGCCGTGTCGGTGCCAGAAAACTTCGACGGCGAGCCCATCAAGGGCCCCAGCAGCGAGACCGTGAGCATCACACCCACTGAACGAACAGCAGAGGCAGACTTTACGTATCTCCCACTTGGAACTATTTCGGGACTCACTCTAAATGATTTCGACCAGTCACCTTTGCCCAATGTTACAGTGATGCTGACTTGCGCTGCTGTTATGGTACCTACTACTACCGATGGCTCGGGCTTCTATTTATTTGAGAATCTTGAGGACTGTATTTACACAGTGACCGTCCCTCCCTCGGTCCTGACTGCCGATTTCGATGGAATTATCGTAGACGGTCCCGTTGATTCGGACTCACAGAAAGAAATCCACAGCATCGAAATCAATAGTGATAATCTGAAGAAAGATAATGTGGACTTCAAGTACCTTCCACAGGGAACCATTTCTGGCAATCTTCAGGACTTCGTCAGCACTGTTGGCATCGTCAATCAGACTGTCACTTTGACGTGCACTGATCCCGAGACGTCCATGACGACCCAAACAGATGAAAATGGTAACTACGAGTTCCATGGTG